CTTGAGGTCACAGGTTCCCCACCCCTGGAACCTTTATCACATAGTGGCCCTGGGGACCTGGGCAAGTCACTTAACTTACCTTTTCAGTGTTCCAAACAAATCTCTAAGATTATAAATCAAAGAGAAGGGGCTGACTCACACCGGAGGAGTCCCTTGTATCAATGAAACCACATGTCTAACCCTTATAATGATTAAATATAATACCTGCACAAATATGCCCTCAGACAAACATAGAGGCAGATCTGTTGATTTGCTTCATCAACATAAAAAACACACACATCCTAGATTGTAGCAACAGATAGACAGTAAAGAAACTCAGGTAGATTGGATCAACAAATACACAATAAAAAAGCTCAGGCAGATTAGAGAAACCAATAGACAATTAAAAAGCTCAAAACCAAGCGGAGATGATTTTCCCCTTCCCATACTCTTCCAACCAAAGCTGCTTACTTGCCATTTCCACACCAGACCACACCAAAGGTTATTCCCTCAATATATGTTAGAATAAGTATTCCCTTATGCTCTTCAACCTCCCACCTCCAGGTCTTTGTATAGGCTGTCTCATATGCCTAGGATGTTCTCCCCTCCTCCCTTCCATCTTTTGGAATCACTACCTCCATTGAAGGTTCAGCTCAGGAGACCTTTCCTGATTCCCCCAGTGGCTAGGGGTCTCCTCTCCTCCCTAGATTACTCTCAATTTACTTTGTATATTTTCATACTAGCCCTTCTATATATCCATTGTCCCCTCGCTGCTCCCCACAGAACTCCAGCTCCTTGAGGGCACGGGCTGATTTGTTTTCATATACCTGGCGCCTAGCACCTGAGAAGCACTGATGAAATGTTTAACAACTTGACTGGAATGAGTTACCCACACCGATGAAACCACAAGTTCATATAATACACACAGACACATTCATACCCAAGAAGTCGCTGCTATCAACTCAAAAGAAACAAGGCATGTGATTTCTTTTTTATCTTTTTTTTTTCCTGTAGGGAAATGGATCTGTGCTGATTTCCTCCCTACAGCCTCAGGATTGAAGGTTTATATTTCTGGAGATGAATGGCCAGTATTGGGAGCACAGCTAACTGTCTCACACAGGCTTTATTTACCCTCACAACTTCGGCCTCCATGACTACATGACCAATCAGGGCAGCATAGTTCAGTAGAGAAACCCCCAAACTAAGAGTGAGAAACCTGGTTTTTAGTCCTGGCTGTGCGACCACAGACAAATCCCTTAATCTCTCTCGCTCCATTGGTTCAACAATAAAATAGGATGCCTCCACCTGCCCTACCTGCATTACGGCAAGGCTGTGAGATGAAAGGAGGTAACATATGTGAAAGTGGTTTTGAAAAAGAAGAAAGGCATTAATTAACTCAACTAACCTGGTGAAAGAAAATTGATGCCGCAAACTCCACGGGTTACTCTTCCACTTGCTTAAATATTTACGCTAAATCCTAAATTATTGTTGCTGTTCAATGATTTCAGTTGTGTCCAATTCTTTGCATGACCTTATTTGGGTTTTTTTTTGGGGGGGGAGGAATTTACTGGAATGGTTTGCCATCTCCTTCTCCAGCTCATTTTATAGATGAGGGAACTGAGGCAAACAGGGTTAAGTGACTTGCCCAGATCACACAGAGAGTAAGTGTTTGAGGCTGGATTTGAACTCAGGAAGGTGAACCTTCCTGATTCCAAGCCCAGGGTTCTATCCACTGCGCTACCTAGCTCCCCAAATCCTAAATCACTTCCTCCCTATAAACTTTTTCTTTTTTAAAGCAAAGCTATAAAAGCAGAAAATAAGCACTGTGGTGCAGTGGAAACAGTCAAAGGATTTGGGGTCAAATTGCATCTCTAATGTACGGGGTCCCTAGGTAAGCCATTCAACCCTCCTGTCCCTGCCGCTTGTCTGTAAAACATGGAGTCAGACTAGAATGGCTTCTGAGATCTCTTTTAGCTCTGAAATGATGAGTCTCTGTGAATCCCTTGCAAAAGTCAGGATCATTTTACAACATGCACATTCTGGGCAAGAATTCATAGGCCCACCGATAGCTAGATTTGAACAAACCCATTATTTTAAAGTTGTACCTGTAGAGAAACTGGCTAAAATGAACTGGGGCTTAAAAAGCTAACATTTAAAGCCATTCAATCACAATCAGGCAAGATCAAGGCATAAAAATAAGCCCTTTACCCCACAGCTGGTGCTGCTGCAACACAAAGGGTTTTGATACCCCTTCCCAGCCTCCGTTGTAACAGTGAGGCACCCCTAATTTTGTAGTAAGCTCAACCTGGGAAGTCACTGAAGCTAGACCTCCACTTTGATTACCTGGCCATATTGAAGAGGAAGGAAATCTACTATCACTCTCATTACCTGAGATCAATGACAGCCAACAGTTCCAGAACTTAATACAGATCTGCCCGTTACCTATCCAAGCATGATATGAATATGAATTATTATTGCATGTCACCTATAAATCCCTATTTGTTTCATTCTACACCTAAGAGTTTCTGAGGTTTCTCATTTCCTAAAATCTGGTCAGTATGTTGGGATGAGTGAAGCTGGCTACCTTTGCTTTCCCCTCAAGGTCTGCATAACCTTGTATTTGTGGGTGTTTCAAATCCAGTAGCTAGCGTGGCTAGGGGGATAGAGCACTGAGCTTAGAATCAGGACGTTCAAATCCAGCCTCAGGCACTTACTAGCTGTGTGACCCTGGGCAAGTCACTTAACCCTGTTTGTCTCAGTTTCCTCACTGTAAAACGAGAAGGAAATGGAGTATCACTCCAGTATCTCTGCCAAGAAAACCTCAAAAGGGGTCACATAGAGTGAGACATGAATGAACATCATTCTCTCAAACCCAGAGTGACTAGTTTCCCAACCAGGACAAAATGTGCCAGAGGCAAGAGACACCTAAATGACACCCTCAGACAAACCTTTTGAGACACTTTCACTTGGGGCCTTGAGAAAGGGATATCTCTCTATAGTGATGCGTAGAAGGGACAGAACACTCACTCTGCCCACACACGTTTTTAGATCTCTGCTGGGGGGGGGGGGAAGCTTATCCATGATAAGGAAGGAAAGAGGACATGACCCTAGTTCAGGGCCCTATAGCCTCTCTCATGAACAGCCTCTGAATTGGTCTTCCTGACGCCACTTTCTCCCTCTCTAATCTATACCCTACACAGCTGTCAAAGTGATAGTCTTAAAACAGATTTGACCATGTAACCCCCAACTCCACTGAAAAATCTTCAATGGCTCCTAGTGCCTCAAGAATAACCTCCTTAGTCTGGCAACTGAACCCTCCATAACTGGCTGCTGTCTCCCTTTTATCATTTCTTTGCAGTTTTTTTTTTCTTTTTTAGGCAATTGGGGTTAAGTGACTTGCCCAGGGTCACACAGCTAGTAAGTGTCAAATGTATGGTCTGAGGCCGCATTTGAACTCAAGTCCTCCTGACTTCAGGGCCGGTGGTCTATCCATTGCACCACCTAGCTGCCCCCATCATTTCTTAATACTTCCCCTCATGTACCTTCTCTGTTCCAATCAAACTGAGCCATCAACAATGCCTGGTACACACATTTCCTGATTTTTCTGTGTCTTTACACAAATGAATGAGTGTCTCCCCAACCCTAGAAAAACCTCTCACTTTCTAGAATCACCAGCTTTCTTTCAAAGGACAGCTCAGGGGCCTCCTTCTACATGAAGTTTTGCTTCATCTTCCCAGGGGTAAGGAACCTGTAGCCTCCAGGCCACATGTGGCCTTCCAGGTCCTTGGGTTGGGCCTTTGGACTGAGTTCAAGGTCTACAAACAAATCCTTCTATTAAGGGGATTGTTCTATGAGGTTTGGACTTAGTCAAAAAACTTACTTGAGGACCTAGAAGGCCATATGTGACCCTAGGCCACAGGTTCCCCACCCCTGTATCTTGTCCTTCCCCTCCTAAAGGCTCCCCTCCAATAAGTTATTAGTACTCTCTCCCCATTGAAAGCAATTACTTAGGCACCTAGTAGGTGCTCAGTGAATACTTTTTGTTGAATCTGGCGGCTTTCTATTTTAACTAATTATTTTTGCTTACTAGATGCTATACTCAATTGTTTCTACACTCCCAAAGGACTGCACAAGGCTGTCACTACCTTCAAAGTTTCAGTATCTTGGGATACTTATGGTCCCTTCAACCTACTTACATATTCTTTCTGATAACTGCATACTCATTTCACTTTCTAGATGAAGAAACGGAGGTACTAGATCATTCAGCCTCAGTTTACAGACAAGGTCCTTCACTGCCTCTAGCCTTAATTGCTGGGGAGTAAACTTCTATGAATCAAATCACAAGGCCCTTCCAAAAAGAGGCAAAGAACCTGAGTCTTTACAAGGTAGTTGTGCAAATTCCACAGAAAGTATCTGCAAGCTGTTTCAGTTCCTAGGAAGGCAAAGGGGTATTACAATCAAGAGAAGGTCTCAAGTCCTCCGTCCTCTGACATCTTTGCTCAGGAAAGCGTGCATTTCATCTTAGCTAAAGCAAATCTCACCCTCCTGTTTCATCAGTATAACTGGGAAGTTTTGTCAGCCTCTTCAGGGAAAGGAAAGAGCAGTTAGAAGTGGATTTAGGAAGATTCATGGGAGGATTCTGCAATTTCACTTTTCTGTTGGGTGATAAAGGCCTTGCCAGGTACATATTTCCCAAGAATAGTTTAACATTATGTGTTAATTGGTGACTTTTACAGGTATATATTAATTAGTGACTTTGCCAGGTATATATTTACAAAGGATAGTTTAACATTATGTGTTGATTGGTGACTTTTAATTTGCATCTTTGAAAAGTCACTGTAGCCAACTGAAGAATTAAGATGGGGGGGAAGTGGAGGCAAGGTGGGGGAGATGTGAAACTTTCTAAAAATGGTAATTTAAACTCGGCTGCCTGGAGGCTCGGGGTCTTCCAACGGGGGGGGGGGGGGGGGGGGGAGGCGGGTGTGTGTAATGGGAGGAAAAGCCAAAAGAAGTCTGATTACCTGACCAGGTCAAGAAACGAATCTACAGTTTCCTTGGTGACAGTGGGTGCTTCTGAGCTCTCCAACCCCAGATCGCTAGACAGGAGGGCCCCGGCGCCGGCTCCCGGCCGGATGATGAAAGCCAGGGCGACCGCTAGCGCCGAGGCGCCCAACGTGGTCAGCAGGAAATAGGCGACCGCAATGCCCCCCAGGCGGCCCAGGGAACTGGCGTCCAGGCTGGCCGCGCCCGACACCAGGCTGCAGACCACGAGCGGCAGGATTACCATGCGCAGCATGCGGAGCAGCATCTCCCCGGGGAAGGCCAGGTAGGTGGCCTGCGCCGGGCTCAGCTCCAGTCCCCGCAGCGCCGCGCCCAGCCCGGCGCCCGCTAGCACCCCAGACACGGTCAGCAGCACCAGCGCGTTGCGCCGCAGGAAGCCCCAGCAGCGCCGCGCCCGCCCAGGCGCGCCGGCCTTGGCCGCCCCCGGCTCCGGGGCCGGCTCCTTGCCCTCGATGTATCCGTTGGTCTCGTTGCTCTTCTCCATGTTCTCCGGGTGACTTCACCGGGGCCGATCCCGGACCGCGGCTGGGAAAGAGGACTGGAGATCCCCGGGGATGCTTTCCCAAAGGACTGGTTAAGAAGGGCTGGGCGAAGCGGGGAGCGCACGCAGCTTCGTCCTCCTCCTTCCTAGCGGGCCCGCGGGGGCAGGAACGTGCGGGGCAGGACGGGGCAAGGCTGGGCCGGCGAGGAGGCCCCAGGCACGGGCTGGAGCACTGGAGGAGTGGCGTGCACCGCACCGGGCTTCCCAAAGCGGCCGCGAGGGCTGAGGATGATGCAACGAGCAGAAGAGCCATCCCCCTTCACACCCCTCTCGCCTGGACCCACCCGCCCTGGCGCAGCCTCCACCAATCAGAGCCCGAGAGACGCCTTCCCTCCCTTCCTCCCTCCCTCCTTTATTGGCTCGGGAGTCAGACATGCTCCCGCCGGGCTCCACTCGGAGCTGGGGCGGGGTCTGGCGGTGGGCGCTGTCTGAGCCCGCGAGGGGGCGGGCCCCTCCGGCCAATCGCCGGGTAGCAGCCTCTTTTCTTCCAGCTGGACGCTGGGATGGAATTGAGCACTGTTGCTTTGGAGAGGGGGAGGAGGTTCTGCACCTGTTCGAGCCCATTTGGGGTCAGGGTCTTGGGACAGATAATGTTCGGAAGAGACCACCTCCGCACGCCACTCCGGGAGTACATAGAGGCTGCCCAGTCTGCAAAAAACGGGGCTAATGAATATGCTGGGCGTGACGCCGAGCCCCCTAGTTTCCTCCTTTAAGTGAGATTAGGAGGTTGGGGCGAGGCCGGGAGTTTCCCATAGAGGTGTCTCTGAGAGGAGCCTCCTTAAGTCAGGTCCTCCGATGCCCCCGTCTCTGCAGGACAAGCCTGCATTCCTCTTCGGAATGGGGCCAGGGTGAGGACAGCGGGTCCGGTGTCTGCTAAGAGGGAGATAACTGAATAACTGCCCTAGGAAAAGACGGATTGTCAGTGACTTCTGCGCTTTAACTTTAGCCTTGGGGGACAAAATCCAACACGCGTTAACTAAGGATAATTACAAAGCACAGACTAAGTAGGAAAAAACCCAGTAAAAACTACAAACTGCTGTACGAAATCAGTTCTCAGTGGTGAGGGCAGGCGGGCGAGGTTTAAACAGGGAATTAAGACTGAAGCTCCACTGAGCAGATGGGGCATTAAGCATCCGCCAGACTAACAGGCTTTGTCTGGTTGAATGGAAGCGGAAGAGGCCAACCCCCTTTATACAAGTATTACCGCTGCAGAACTTAAAGCAGTTCATATGTTCTGGTCTTTACTCTTTTCTCTAGTTAGATTTCTTTCTTTACATATTTGAAATTGTGTGACCTCAGAATATGCTTGAATGCTCAAATGCTCCTAAGTGCCAATGATTCCCTGACAAATGGCTGTGGATGATTTTAAACACCCTCCAAAATCCCAGCAATCCGGGGCACACTGTAGGGACTGCAAAGGCTGCCTGAGCAATGTTTTCTTTCAGTCGGACCTTGGAAAAATATTGCAACGTGGCATTTCACTGTCACATTTATAAAACTGCTCAAAATTTCTATTTGTGGTTTCAAAAAGGAATTTTAAATTGCTTTCCTAAAGCAAATAGACGCTTAATAAGAAATTTTGGTTACATGGAAATAGCCTGGATTGATATGGGGAAAGCTGGTTTGCCTTAGACCATGCTAGATGACGATTGGCGGAAGGAACAAGGGCAGTTTAGTCTGCACATGATAGCCTTCAAACCTGGAGAGGTTGTCACGTGGAGAAGTTCTGTTTGGCTCAGAGGGCAGAAGTCGAGGGGAAGTTGCAAAGGGGCATATTTTGACCTGATGTAATGAAAAGCTTCCTCTAACAATTACAATTATCCAGAAGTAATATGGAGCTGCCTCTGGGGGTAGAGGTTTCGATTTACTGAAGGTCTTCAAGCAATATCTGGTTTTCCTTTTGTCAGGTAGGTAGTACACATTTTCAATTATGGGCTGAACCAGATGGCCACCGAAGTCCCTTCCAACTCTGAAATTTCTATTCACTATTGGATGGGTATTTCCTACACACACAAAAAATGCTAAAAGTCTTAAAACATGCATCGACAAGCCTTAAACAATCAGTAATTTGTAAGTTATTGTTACTATCCTCTAGGAGGTAGTCATAAATTCTACTGGGCAGGGTGCCTGAATAGGCATTGTTATATTTCACCTTGGTTCTGCCTTCTAACTGTCAAAGAGGATGTCCTGCTAATCCTGCCAATTCAGGGCAGGGCTTGGACTCATCCCCTGCCAGTGGTCATTTTCTCCTTTGAAGAAATTCCCCTTGCCACCAGTCAGCTCCAGCCAATACACTCAGTTCCTTTCAACTCTGAAATCTGAGATAAATAAAACATCACACAAAAGACAAATACTATACCGTGTGGAATAGTACTTGACTGTCCCACTGATGAACACTTTGACCTTGGACAAATCACTTAACCTTTCTGGGTTTCAGTTTCTTCCTCTGTAAAATAAAGGGTGTTCTGGCCCTAACATTCCATCACTACATAATCATATGTATGTACAAAAGATCATACTGATTATGTCGAGCCAGGAAAGACTGCAAAGTGTCCTCAGTCTAATTGTAGTAATCCAAAAAAAAAAAAGTTAGGCTAACCATCTGTAGGAAAATGAAATAGAAGAAAAATCCACATTTCCCAGATTGTGACATGAAGCTAGATGGACAGTCTGTTGAATTAGTCCATCAATATGTATAATTTGGACAAATGTGGTAGATGAAAAATAAATTGGGCCCAATGTTGAGCATCTAGGTGGTGCAATGGGTAGAGCACTGGGCCTGGAGTCAGGAAGACTCCCCTTCCCCAGTTCAAATCTGGCCTCAGACATAGTAGCTGTGTGACTCTGGGCAAGTCATTTAACCCTGCTTGCCTCAGTTTCTTCATCTGTAAAAATGAGCTGGAGAAGGAAATGGCAAACCACTCCAGTTTCTTTGCAAGAAACAGGGTCTCAAATGAGTTCATGAAGAGTTGGAAGTGACTAAACAAAAACTACCCTGATTTTGGCCCCACCCAGATCTCCTGCCATCACGATGTCACAGAGCTGAGAATGATGGAATCCCAGAATCTCAGAGTCAAAACTACAAATAAATATAAATGAGAGGCTAATAGCACATTACTGATAATATACATATAAAAATGGAATAAAGTGAATGCAGAATACATATGACTGCAGAAGAGAGACAGAAGATGGGCAGCATGCATACTACATTGGTACCCCAGAGTTAATGAAAAGAACCAAGAGCAGGCCTCCAATGCATTGATGAGATCATGGAGGACTTCTGGTAAGAGTTGGACAGAAGATAAAGCTTAGAACTGGTTATGAAGTGCTCCACAGAGTGCGGTGGAAGTAGTGATTTTGATGAAATCATACTATTCCAAGTAATCACATAAAAATGCCCTCATGAAGAACTTTAATGACATATCTAAATGTTATAGTCTTGAAATTTTATTTTATCAACTACTGCTTGAAGTACGCAATTGAATGGAACTTAGAAATTTCTTTGCTATTTAGAGATACGGGTAATGGTGTTTGTTTTAACAGAATTTGACCTGTTTGCATACTTCAGTGTATAGTGTTGGAGGTTAAGAACAGTGGTTATGTGAAATACACTGTATTTTCTCATAGGACATGAAGCCACAGGATTTCTGATTTTAACTTACTTAGACCAATCTTGAAAGCAGTGCTTATATTTCCTTAGGCTCACAAAAGATTATCACATTGCTCAATCAATCCACAAATATTGGCTGCATGCCTAACTCATAAGGAACATTGTGTTTTTATTTTTATTTATTTATTTTTTCAGTTAGCAAGCATTTATTTTTCTCTCTGTCCCACCTCCAGCCCCCACCTCATCCCCTGCCTCCTCCCATTCTTTGGTTGGGGCATGGGGAGAGGAACAAAACTCTTGTAATAAATATACCTGTTCAAGCAAAACAAATGCTCACAGAAATGCATGTCTCTGTGTGCATATAAAATCTGTCACTTTTCTTTCAGGAGGTGGGTAGCATTTTTCATCACTGGTCCTCTGAAGTCACAGTGGATTATTATGTTGGTTGATCAGCATTCTTAAGTTATTCTAAGCTGAACTTTGTACTTTGAAAGAATGAATGAGTGGGGGCAGCTAGGTGGCACAGTGGATGGAGCACAGGCCCTGAAGTCAGGACGACCTGAGCTCAACTCTGGCCTCAGACCAAACACTTGACACTTAATAGCTGTGTGACCCTGGGCAAGTCACTTAAACCCAATTGCCTAAAAATTAAAAAAAAAAATGAATGAGTGAATGAATGAATGAAAGAGTGAATCAAAAGCACTTACTATGTGAAAAAACTAATGCAAAATACAAAAATCAAGACTATCCCTGTTCTTATGACGTAAATTTATTAAGAACAGTAACAGTTTTGATTTTTGTATATATCTTTTTTGTACATAGTTGTTTGCATATTGTCTTCGTTAGACTGTGAGTTTCTTGAAAGCAAGGACTATTTTCTGTCTTTCTTTGTATCCTCAGAGTTTTTCACAGTGCCCAGCACATTGGCACTTAATAAATGTTTTTTTAATTTGACTTTTCATTAATTGATTGGTTTAGTCAAGATATATGAGCCTTTGGTGATTAATTGGGACTAGGGTCTACCCTTACATGTTATTAAAGTCTTTATTTATTATAGTTTATTTTTTTAAAATTCAATTTTATTGAATTTTCAGTTCTGATTTCTCTCATTTCTATCTCTTTTTACCCTTCTCCATCCCACTAAGAAGGCAAGAAGAGCAAAACTTGTTACATATCTGTATAGTCAAGTAAAACAAATTCTCACAGTATCCATATCCAAACAACAAAAAAAAGAAGAGAGAAAAGAAAATATACTTCAATGTACACTCTGAGTCCATCAGTTCTCCATCTGAAAGTAAGTAGCAATCACCTTTGGAATTATGGTTAGTTATTGTGTTGATCAGAGTTGTCTTTCAAAGTTATTTATCTTGTGGTTAATGTATAAATTGTTCTCTTAGTTCTGCTTACTTTACTTTCCATCAGTTTATACAAGTTTTCCCAGGTTTTTCTGAAGTCATCCCCTACATCATTTCTTATAGCACAATAGTATTCTATAGTATTT